GTCTTGCTGTCGCAGGGGCAGAGGAGGAAGAAAACCCATGATACGTGGACCCACGCAGCTCTGACCCGTGTTGTTCGAGGTCAGCTGACCTACCTACTGCAGAACGCCCTTAGGAAAACCGTGACCAACAGGGCTGGAAGCCCCGTCCAGCGCCCGCCTCCAAGCGTCGACAGAAAGAGCCTTGAAGCCTCTTGGAGCTGGATGGCGGGGGGCTCGAATTCTGGCTCTGCTACTTAGCGGCTGTGTGCCCCTGGGCAAATCCCTCAGCCTGAGCCTCAGTTTCCCTCTCGGGTAAAGAGGGGATGGGGTCTACACCAGCCTCACTGAGCTGGGAGGGGCTGGGAGGCCGCGTGACCAGGGCGTGCGTGGCACAGTGCAGCGGGAGCACCCTAACCAAGAGGAGCGCCGCTGAGCGTCACAGTCTCTGGCACCCTGGAGTGACGGAGTTTAGTGGCCTTCCCAAGAGCAGAAGGGGGTGGGGGCGGCACGGGGGCCACAGGGTGGGCCCAGGTGGAGGTGGTGGGCCCTGTGCTTTCGCCTGCTTCCCACTGTCCCAGGTGGGCCTGGTGGGCGCTCAGGTGTTGGAAAAGCTTTGCCGGGCCAGGCTGCAGCCCGAGCTGGTTCCTCCCTTGGGAGCCAAGATGGGGACAGCCAAACTGGTTTGTCGGGGGCACCTGGGTCCTGCCGCTCAGGCCCACCCGGAAGGAGCATCCCTTCTCCACTGTTTCCAACCCCCTGGGGACGTGGCGCGGCTCCCTGCCTCTCCCCAGCCCGGCCCTGGGTGTGGGGGCCGTGGAAGGCGCCCAGAGCTCCCCGTCCCAGCCCAGAGCCTCTTTGCCCTGATCCTGGGGCGCCTGGCGCCGTCCTCTGCCGGCCTCCCCCGCTCTTCCCCTCCTCGTTCCTCTCCTCCTCCACTCTGGTGGCCCGTCCCCTCGCAGGTGCTGGCCTCCGGGGGCTTGGGGACCGTCTTCAGGAAGTTCCCAGCAGCCAATGCAAATGAGGGCCACTCCCTGTTATTGAAGAGCGACTTGCAGGCACAGATCTGTCCGCTGGCAGCCAGAGCCTTCTCCCCGAGACTAATCCCTCTGCTCTCTGAGTCACCGGGAACTTCTCAACCTGGGGCCCACGGAGCGTGGTCTGACGCCAAGAAAGCGCGTCTCATGCGCCAGCCTTGGATGAGCTTTGCCCAGCGCTGGCCAAGACAGCGTCTCGGGGCTGGGAGTTAGAATCCAGCCAGGGACTCTTCCTCATCGACCCAGGACCAGGTCCGCACTCGGCTTCATCCCCTCTCAGGCTCGGGCCACAGCCCACGCCCACAGTAGGGCATCCGCCAGGTGACAAGCCACCTGGAACACTGCGCTCGTCCACTGAGAGCGTCGCCCCGTGGGGCTCAACAGGCGTCTCCATTCAGACCCAGGCTCCGTGCGCGGCTGCTGGGGGCTGAACAGAGACGCCCCAGGGCGGCCCAGCAACAGAGCAGACACGGCCACCCACGTCTGCAGGACTCAGGCGACCCTGCCTCGTGCACGGCCAGGCCAGGAGGACCAGGGTACCTTCCGGCAAGTTCAGCTCTGAGGAGCCCAGAGAAGGTGGATGAGTCACCTCGTGAAGTTCACACAGTCGCCTCTGGACAGGCCTGGAGTCCAGCTTCGACCGTCAGAGCTGGTGACTGCACACCCGCCCACCCTCCGGGCACCCTCTACTGGCCGCCCCTGCTGTCCTCGCGGCCACCGCCCACCCTCGTGTCCCGCCTCAGCACCTCTCTGCCACGGCTCTTAACCTGCAGGAATTCGATGGCTCTCTCTGTGCACACTCAACCCGGGAAACAAGGGCATGCAAAATTCTAGAAGTAATTCCCGGGGAACCAGCCAGGCCTGAAGCCCATCCTGGGAAGTCCTGGGGTTCCAGGATGAAGACGGCCCTTCCACGGGGCACACGGGGCCTTCGTGAGGGTCGCTGCCCCGTCCCCAGAACCGAGCTTTGCTTCCAGACAATCGGAGCTGGGTGTGGACCTGAGCACACGGCCGCGCTGCGCTCTGCTCACCTCTGGCCTTCATTCATCTGTCCCTCCGCCTGGGGTGGCCCCAGGCTGGCGCCCCCCACGGGCTGGGCTGGGGCCTGTGGATCCTGTGCTTCCCGATCGCCTCCCTCTCCCCCACGCTCCCTGCGGGGAAGCTCTCGCCAACCGTCGGCAGTCCCCGTGGTAGAGACGTCCCGCGCACACGGGCACCTAGCTCTGAGTGTGGAACGGGACAGGACAGGACCTCAGGGCACTGGGAGCCAGGGGGACTTCGCCATCCGGAGGGCGGCAGCAGCCAAGAGCTTCAGTCGCTGAGGACGGACCAGGCCCTGCTCTCGGCTGATCCTGCCCGGGCCGCGGCCCTTCCTCCTCTGCCAGGACCGGCTCCCTGGAACCTGGCTCCGCTCCCCCCACCTGCTGGAAACCCACTCCACGTCCGGGGGGTGCCTGGCCTTTGGGCCGCTCTGCTCGCTCAGCGGTCTCCATGGAGAGGGCCTTGGTGACAAGCCACGTCCCCCACGCCTGGTACCTGGGGGTGTTCCTGAAACAGCTGCTCCTTGAATGAAGCCCCCCATGCCTCCCACCCCCTTAAGACATGCAGTGGCTGCCCATTTGCTCGTGTTCGTCCAACAAGCCCACGGAGGTCTCCTGCCAGCCAGGCGTTCCCACCCGTGGCCCTGGTAGTGAAGGGAAAAGACGAAGCTCCTCACTCCCTCGGAGCTGAGGTCTAGCAGGAGGACCATGGCCAGGAGCAGAGCACAGACGTGAAATACAGATGTGAGACGTCGTATGTGCTCTGGAGAGTGGGGTGGGGCAGTGGGGAGGACGTCTGAGAGACAGAGGCCCCCTCAGTGTGGCTGGTGCAGGGCGGAGCATCCTGGGGCATCTGTGGCCAGGTGTCCCGTCTCCCACAGACCTCCAGCCTGCTCACCACCTCCCCCCACCCACCTTCCAGTCCCTCACTCGGCACATTTCCTTCCACCACAGGGCCTTTGCACAAGCCATCCCCACCTGCCCCGCTCTGCTCCGTCTCTTTGCCCAGTGCACTCCTCTGACACAGGTCGTCTCGGCTCTCTAGTGTCTCCTCAGGGAACCCCTCCGGGACCCCCTGGCACTTCTTCCCAGCGTGCGCCCCCCGGCCCCACACAGCCCTGTGCAGTCACACCTTTAGGAGCCAATGAAAGCAAACCCCACCTCACCGCACCCAGGCCAGGCTGCCTCTCGCTCCTCTGCCCTCGCTCAGCTGGGCGGCGAAGGGCCCACCCCAGGGCACAGCTCAGCCTCGCTCAGCCTGTGCGTCCAGAACTGAGCACTCTTCACCCCGCTCTGTTCCTTTTACTCAAGCTCCCTAAGTGCCTGCTCCCGGCTCTCTCCTCCCAGAGCTTTGAGGGCAGAGCACAGCAGTTAATAGGCAGCAACGGCTTCCAGGCTCAGTTTGACAAGTCAGTCGTGGGTGGATGGACAGAAGGATGAACACAGAGATGAAGGAGGGAAGGGGGAGAGAGGAGGGAGGAGGGAGGGAGGAGGAGGGCCAGGGGAGATGTCTCACAAAGGTAGAAACCAACTCTTCTTTTCCTACAGCACGTACTGATTACTGCCTTGTAGTAGGCACAGTGCAGGGCATCTTATCCCACTTGACCCAAGGAGCCTCTGAATTCTATATAATTATCCTACACTTTGCATTTGAGAGGAAAAGGCCCAAGTGTCACAGCTAGGAAGGGACAGAGTGTCTCAGCCTCCAAAGCCAGTGCTAGGAGCATGACTCCCTTCTTTCCCCCAGGAGACAGCAGCCTGCAGGAGTCCACGTGACACCCCCAGCGCATCCTAGCGAGGCTCCGAGGGGAGCGGCGCCGCTTCTACTAGCGTTTTTCTAACATATCCCCCACTCTCAGGACCCGGGGAGTTTTAAGGCAGAGCCAAGGCCGCCTCGGCGAGGGGCACAAGGGGAGCGAGAGTTGGGGTGAGAGGACTTAAAAACAACCGCGCGTGCAAGGCTCAGACCGTCCCTCCCCAGGGGCACGGAGCACTCCAACTGGCGGGGAGACCCCCAGGGCCCCACAGGGGCTCACACAGAGGAGAAGAGGAGGGAAGAGGAAGGGTCTGCAGACAGGCCAGGCCCCCTGCGTCCAGCACGCCATGTCCACTGTCCCAGAGGGAACCGTGGGATTCCCAAAAGCTTGTGGCTTGGTGGGCGCCGGCCCGAGAGGGGGACGCTGAGTCGGGGGCAGGAGAGGCCTGCCCAGCTCCCCGCGCGCTTCCTCGCCCCGGGCTCTCTCCCGATGTCTGCTCAGCAGGGCAGGCGCACAGCTCAGCCCTGACCCTCCACGAACCAGCCCCCTGTCGTATGTCAAGTCGTGGTCACACAGTGGGGAGAGCCCTGCCTCCGACTGCTGCGCTGAGCGCCTGAAGAAGCCGTGAGCAGGAGGGAGTGGGGGAGGACAGGAGAGCAGGGGGAAGGTGGGAGAAGGTGGGTCCCCGTCTGAGCTTTGCCCAATTGCTGCCCTCAGAGCTGATCTTTTGCGTGGGATAAACAAAATTTGCCCAACTCTGTGGCACACGCCACAAGCCTAGACATCCCTCCAATCGCCTCCCGCTCCACTCATATCAGAATCCCTTTTTTAATCCTCATCTCCTCCCTAAAAGGTGGGGACAATATAAAGCACAGCTAAAGGAAGTCTTTAAAACAGGAGTTTAAAAGACAAAACACAGGTGACGAGTGGGATGCTTATATAAGAAAATACTCATACTCAGAAAAAAATGGGATAAGTGTAAGTTACTGAACAAAATTCCTGGAGCTTCCTGGAAGCCAAGGTAAAAAGGGAAATATGACACACTCCATGACTCTCAAGAGCTAATGAATGGTCATGCAGAATCATAGCTAGGACGTGGGCTCTGGGCTCAGAATGTCTAGTTCAGAGCCTTTATTGATTGGCATCTGTGCAGCTTTGCCCCATTCACTCTGCACCCTTTGTGCCCGCAGGCTGCTCCATCACTGAGGCTGTGACGATCCTGGGGAACAAGCTCAGGAATTACCAGAGGCGGTTCAACACCGCGCACCTGGTGGCCCTCTGCGACTACTGCCACAACACCTTTATCCGCCACTACAAACTCTACCAGTATGTCCTGGGCCAGGACCGGGACGTCAACCTGAGGGTCAGCCACCTGGAGGTGTGTGTGCCGCCCCAGCCCCTCCCGCTGGCCGAGGGCGTGGACAGGAACGTCTGGAGGCACGAGCAGCAGGTGGCCGAGCTGGGGAGGGCCGAGGCGCAGAAGCGCACCGACATGCTGCTGCTGCAGGAGACGCTGCGCCTGGAGCAGGAGCACCTGCTGCAGAAGGCCTTCCAGGACACGCCCGCCACGCCCCGCCAGGCCCTGCGGAGACAGGTGAGGCTCTGCTCACCTGCCGTCGGGGAGCGTCTGGGCCTCCCGGGACAACGGCCCAGGCCACGGCCACGGCAGACGGGACCTCGTCGTCTGCACACAGGGGAGGGGGTGGAAGGGCGGGTTTTGCGTGCACATTGTCACACAACGTCCCTGCAAGGCAGAAATCCATGTCCCCGTTTTAGTTATGAGACAACCGAGGCAAAGAGAACTCATGCAGTCCGGCCAAGGTCGCCAAGCGGGCACCTGGGAGAGCGAACACTGGACTGAGGCCGGGCTGGCCCTGAAGTCCAAGCTCTTTCTACTGCGTCATCGACTGGTGAGATTTCACCAAAGGAGGCAGGAAAAGACGCCAGGCTCCGGACTGCCGCAGAGTCTCCCGATGCCCCTCCTCTGCCCGCAGAGCCAGCACCCGTCGAGGCCCGCGGGGAGAGGGTGGAGGAGGCAGGGACACAAGGGCAGGTCAAGGAGGGACACGGCCAGGGGAGGTGAGGGGTGGAGCTGGTGGCCCGGGAGAGGAACCTAGAAGAGTCTGGGGTGTGGCTCTAAGAAATCAGGCTGCTCTCTTCAGGGTCTTAGAGACCCCTGGGGCCCAGCGGCCAGCATCTCCCACAGCCAGCCCTTCGGTAACGGTGACGGGCAGGGCGCCAGGGCAGCCGACTGCTCAAGTGCCCGACCGAGTCTAAGTCATCATCGTTGCATCATCTTTGAAGACAGAGACATGTATGTGCATGTATGTGCGTGTGTCCGTGTGCACGTGGGGGTGGGGAGTCGCAGGGCCTGTGTGTTCCAAAAGGGTTTTGGTTTCTGAAGCATCAGCCAAACAGCAAACGATCCTCAGAAGTGAGCACTGCTTTGAAGCTATGTATGTGCACACGCATGCACACATGCACACGCGCACACGCACACACCAGAATGGATGATGCCCATGTGACGTCAAGTCTCCGGATGAATTGCACATGGGGAGGTCGTGTAATCTTGGTGCCTTAAGACACCCACTGGGGACCCATCAAAACCCAAGCAACGGTCTGTCTCCGCCCCCCAGGGGACCTTGCTCCAGCTCCCGTGGGCCTGGCCACAGTAGGAGGGGCTGTCTCACGTCACCCTGCTGCCCCGTGCGTCCCCCTGGCAGGGCTCGTGGGCCCAAGCCCCCCGCACTGTGTGCCCTGACAGTGCACATCCCCTTGGAGCACAGTCTTCCCAAAGATTTAAGGGAAGAACATTATTTTTATATAAAAACAACCAAGGGGATATTCTGGGGCAAATGTACAATTTTACATGGATTTTAAGTTAAAATATGTGATCTCAAAGAAGTGTATTACGGGCACCTGGATACTCCATACGTGCACCCCCCACAGAGACTCCCCTCCGCTGTTTGGCTGCTCGAGCAGGGAACTCGGAGCAACCCAGCGTCACGCACGCTCCGGGTCTCGGGGCTCCGTGTGCCACGACTGTGGCGGAGCTAGCGAGAGGGTCTCCTGTTTGCCGTGGTGGACAGTGGCGGAGTTCGTGTTCTTCCCACAACTGGCTGGCTGGGCACATGCCCACTCCCTGAAGCAGGTTCTCCCGTCCCCGCCCACGAAGCTGGCCACCCGAACTTCGAGAAGTGAGGGTGCACATGACATGGTGGTATCCAGATGGGGCTTGTAGATCTCTACCAGAAAGTAGAGATCACAGGGAATATGGGACCAGCCTGGGGGCCCAGAACAAGGTTAGGAACAAATGACACACCCAAACAGGGTGACTGTCACCCTAGGCCTGAAGAGGAAAGGAGAAGAAATGACCACTGGATCCCAAAGAGAGAGATGCAGCTGCAGGAGAGGGCTGGGGACAGGCAGTGTGGCCACAGGCAGAGGACCACAGCTGTGGCCCACCCGCAGCAGGGCAGGAGGAAGGTGGGGGCCTCCCTTGTCCCCCCGGCCCTCCTGCTGAGACCCCTGTTGGCTGGACTCAACCAGGAGCCAGAGGTCAAGGCAGCCGGTGGACGTGGCCATTTCCAGCCGGCCCCCCAGGGCCTGGGGCGGGGGCAGAGAGTGCACGTGGGTCCTCGCACGCCGAGCCAGGGCCCAGGTGAGAACTGGGCAGGCTCTGCCTGCAGACGTCGCCGAGCCCTGGTCGCCAGCCCTGTTCCGTCCCCGCAGGACCTGGAGCACCTGATCCGCGAGGCCGTCCACGTCCAGATTGAGTGCCTGAAGGAGCTGCTGCAGCAGGAGATCCAGGTCACCTTCGACATCCTGGACCTGAAGCTGCAGAGGAAGACGCTACATCTCCACGCACCCAACCCCTTCCCGCCCTCCACCGCGGGCCAGCCCAGCCGGGATGAGGCTCTGAAGCCCCACAAAGCAAACAAAGGAAAGAAAGCGAAGGCAAAGAAGTAGACGTTCCCACGGCGTCACCTGAAGGTCAGCGGGGGACGAGCCCCATGACTGAGCAGTGTGATGCGCTAAGCCCAGTGCTCAGTAGGTAAAGACTTCTAGCGATTGAAATAAACAAACCAATACCCACCCTCCGTCTCTGTCTTGGAAACCACCTTCTGCTACCTGAAAATCCCATCCAAATGGATTTCCCCTAATGACGGGCAACGGCCGTGCCCCTCTGTGAGCACAGAGCTCTGCTCTCGGGGGAGTGGGACCTCACTTGCCAATGAGCCTGAGTTCCGCTGAAGGCAGGTGGACGCAGGTAAGGGTGAGGGCGCCCAGGTAACAGTGGTTCTGTTACGGGAGCGCGTCCTGGGATTCCTCCTGACATCTTTACACAGGCTCGACTACGTGCATCCTGCCGGTGTCCCTGCTGGAGGACGCAGAGCCGTGTGTCCTCCAGAAACCTCTCCTTCCACCAGAATCTATACCGTCAAGACTGAGGCAGGGAACAAGCCCTGTTCCAGAGGTGGGAGACCCGGCTGTGAGCCCAGCTCTGCCGCTGATCTGCTGTGCGACTTTGCCCATGTCCCGTCTGCCTCTGGGCACCAGTTCTCTCTCCTGTCAAGGGGGGGCCGTGGGGTGGTGTCTAAGGTCCCTCTGTCACCATAACATCCTAGAAGAGAGAAGAGGCTATTCTCCTGTGTCGAGGGTTTCAGCGTCCAGGGAGGTCCGGTCCCTGTTCAAAGGCACACAGCAAGGGGGCAAATGAACTGGCACCAGCACCCAGGCCCCCGGACTCTCGTTTCTGTGCTCTTTCAGGACAGTGGGGGGCATTGTGCCTCTCGTGCACACAGCCGCACAGGTCCTGCAGCTGTTGGTTTGACCAGTGGCTGTGACCCAGGAATCAGGGCAGTTAGGAGGTTACTACAAGGCAGCCGGGGGACTCAGCCCTTTCCAGATGGCCCTCCAGGGCCTGGGGTGGGGCAGAAGCGGGTAGAGAGTGCATGCATGTGGGTCCTCGCACCCGAGTCAGAAGGCTGCTTATAGCACTTTTTAGGTGGGGCTGAGTTGCATTTATGAAGTGGGAAGAGAGTAGATCTTAGCACCTTCGTGAAAGCACCAGACAAACCTAAGAGCAGAAATGTGCTTAGAATTGGTTGTTGGACACTCGTAAGTCACAACGGCCCCCGGAGGAGTGGAAAGTAGAAATGAAGACAGAAGAGGGACGCAGGAGGTGACGGGGAACTTGAAATAACAGGGGCGGACTCCATCCGTGAAAACACCCTGCTGCAGTCGCTGCCCTAAAGGAGGACACAGTCTGGTGGTCGGGATGGGAGCGCACAGCCACGGTGCCTCCTTCCTGGTGAGCACATGCCCCAAGTAGACCAATCAGAGTGCTCCATTGCCCTGGGCCACACTGATTGGACCAGGCATGGCCACATGACCCAAACTGGACCAATCAAAGTACCCCATCCTCACCCACCCACCACACCCGCAGCCATGATGAATGATTCTGGGATTTTTCTGCCTGAGGCTCCCAAGGTTCTCTCCCTCTTGCTTTGGAGGCTGTGGGATTCCAGGAGGCCAGAGCAGCCTGCAGCTGTGCCGCCAGCCTGAGAGAAGCAGGCGAGAGTGAGAGAAGAGACTGAGAGATTGCCTCCTTCATGCAGTCACCCTGGGGCAGCCCCGCCCCGCCGTCCAGGGCTTACATGAGCCAACGTGCGCACGCCCATTACTTGACTGAGGTCAGCGAGACAGGCAGGGCGGGGGACGCTTCGACCATGACAGATGAGGAAACTGAGGCTCAGCCAGGTGGAATAATCGATTGCTCAAGGTCACTTGGCTAATAGGAAGTGAAGCCATGACAGAAGCAGCAAACCTCCCGCCTCCCGATGAGAGCTCGGGTCCCACCCTCTGCCTCCAAGGACGTGCCCCTGCAGCCAAGGTCGCACCCTGCCCACAGGTGTGGTCGTCCCTGGGGATAAGCCACCCTCTTGTTCCGGACTCCGAGAGAGACCACAGCCTCTACTCTTAGATGGCAGATCTCAAGCCCAGGGGCAGGACCTCTCCCCTGGGAACCTGCACACACAAAGCCAGAGGAGTGAACAGAGCAAAACAAAACAGAATCTACCCATCGTCATAGGGCTCTCTTCGGAAAATGTCATCTCCTTCTCACTGAGTGGGGCATCGATTGTAAAACACAGAGTCCAACCTTAGATCCACCATCAACATTACATCACTAGAGCACCTCATAGTGCTACTTGTGGATTGTCCCCCAAAGAACCCAAAGGGCTTTCTGGTACTTTCTGTAAAGTTCTTTTATGCCTACTGGAAAGGTCGCAGGAACAGAGGCCATTTCCAGGGCCCACATTTTTGAACTGAGGAGCAAGGTAGCCCTGTGTCCTTTCTAAGGCCCCTTCCTGCTCCAACATTCTAAGAACATGGCTCCCAGCTGAGGTTCCAAGGCACCTGGGCCAGAGTGGGAACCGGGACATAGGTTTTCTAAACCTGATCCAGGCCTCTGATGCAATGAGACCATGTCATCCAGGCCCCGTCATTCCAAGAATGTTTCTCAAGAGGTCAGCCTTCCTATGGGTTTCAGATTTCCTGTAGAATCTGGAAATGCCACCTACATTGAGCCTCAAAGCAGAGGAAGTGGCACAGTTTGAAATTTCCCAGAGCCTCCCATGTAAACCAGCTTCAGTGTTTTGTCCTGAGGACTCCAAATGCCTCCAACGTTTCTGTGAATGGGTTTAGGCCCGACAGGAAGACAGAGATTTTGGAACTTTTCTAGAGAAAGAATAGAGCTGTGGGTAAAAGTTGGGCAGCACTGCCCAAGACTTTTACAAGAAGTGCTCACTCAGGCCAGTAGCTACTGTCTCGAGGACAGTACCAGTTGGACACCTTAGGTGTCTTGAAGAGACTCACTTTCAAACTCTGAATGAGGAGGTTGCCTGTAGGGGTTGCTCGAGCCCAGAAGGAACCTCTGTCTTCAGATGCAGCCAGTTACAGCCGACAGCTTCACGGAATAGCCACTGCCCATGTGCTGAGAAGGGGCATGAGACTGTGAGCTCTTCAAAGGTTCCTGTCATCCCGGGTACCTCTCGTGGGACACCGCCTAGCCTCTTGGCCTCACCCCTGATTCCAGCCAAGGCTACAGAAAACCGTTCCACATAGTTTCCGTCCCACCTCACACGGATGGCACTTCATACCAAATGCATGCCAAATGTCCACTCCTTCCTGTCCCGGTTTTGGAGTTTGGGCAGGGTCCGCGTGGACAGTTTATCTGTGTCCCACATGGCAACAGCGGAAACAGCTCCAATGGGGCTGAAGTCTCCACCTCCCAGACGGCTGGCCTCCGTGGCTGGCAAGCTGCGGTTGTTCCTGGGACGGTTGACCTTGATTCTCCTCCACGTGGGCCTCTCCGCGTGGCGGCTGGGGCTTCCTCACAGCATGGTGACAGGGCTCCCAGAAGGAAACCGCGGAAGCTGACAGTTCTCTTAAAAGGGTGACAACAGGCAGAGCATCACTTCCAAGGTATCCTAGTCATTAAAGCAGCGGCAGGCCCGGCCCAGAGTCGGGGGTGTGGGAAATAGACAAGCCCCTCGGTGCGGGGAGGGACGAAGCATTTGCAGCCGTCTTCAACCCGCCGCAGGAGCACAGAACACTAGATAAATGCAGAGTCGAACAAACAGTTAAGTCATCAAATCGATTAGTTAATGCTACAGCCATTACTCAGCAGTGACCTTCCCCCGCCCACACAGCCTCTACCACTCTACCTGAATTTTTAGAATAAAATATTAATTTGATAATTTATGTGAGACTGGAAGGTTTTTTGACCTCAGAATCATAAAATATTAGAGCCGAAGGGACCGTAGAGGTGACCCACATTAGCCGCCTCCTAGTACCGCTGAGGCGGAGGAACAGGGCAAGGAAGAGATTTGTCCAAAGTCACCAACACGGTCGTCGGCAGGGCAGACCCTAACCTATGGCCCAGATGCCCAGCCTGGGTCCCTGCAGCGGGGCTGAGGCTGGTGGAAGGCCGTGAGGTTGGTGGCCTTTCCCACAGGAAACCCCACCTGCAGGGTCCCCTGTGAATCTGTACCCCCAGAAACCCACACTTCCAACTGATGTGAGTAGTTAGTGCAAACTGGGATGCGCAAGGCACGGAGGAGAATCAAAAACAATGCGGTAAAGTGACTTCTAACCCATACCGAGTGAGTGCCTGTCACGCCCCGGGCTCTATTGCAGCATCCTCATTTCATGCATGAGGAAACTGGGGTTCAGGGGGGTTCGGTTACTTCCCCATTGTTCCCTAGCCGACAGGTCACCTGCTGGGATTCAGACTCAGGCGTCTTTGATCTAACTGTCCACTCCTTTCCCTGAATCGGCCGCCACGCTGACCTGGGTCCTCCCGCTCTGGGAGATCCGATCTAGACGAGAGGCCACACTCCTCACACTCAACCCGTAAGGAGACAGTCCCAGACAAATGGAGGCAGGACCCGTCACAGAAGAGGCAGGACTCGGGCACAGGAGGGACCCCAGGACCACGGGAGGGAACAGGAGGGTGGGCTCGGGAACAGGTGGCCTTGGGGAGAGGCTGGGCGGGTCGCAGAGCTGAGCTAAGGCTGGGGTCAGTCTGGAGGAAGCTGCGTGGCAGAGTGGGGCAGTGGTCAGAGACAAGGCTGCCTGGGGGCATCCAGCGGCTCTAGAACTTCTGTGAAGGAGGTTTCCGGGGCTCCTGGGCTCCAAGTTCAAAACCTGGATCTTGGGACCTGTCTTGCAGCTGCACTTGCTTAGGAAGCCCATGGTTAGCTGGGTTCCAATGGCATCTTTGCCAAGGTGCCATGTGCCCTCTACCGAGCCCGTCTGGGTGCCGACAGGCTTAGGAGGGGGAGGCAGCTAAGGGCCCTGAGCTTGAGGCTGAGCCTCTGAGCCTGGCTCCAGGATGGGTAGAGACGGGTGAGGTGGGAGGGAAAGCCCCCTCTGTGCTTTGAGCCGTTGGGTGGGAATCCAAC